AGCGTGGCTCTTCCTAAGCCTTAGGAGTACCCTAATTAAGTTAATAACAATGTACCTACCTATATAGTTTAAGTTAAAAAAATTTGGCTCTCAAAAGAAATTTCAATCATTGTTCTGTTGATATTTGGCTCTGTGGGCTAATGAGTTTGCCGACCACTGGGCTAGGGCCACCTTGGCCTTCTTCCTGATCCTCACACTAGGATGCTCCCGCATCCAGGCCTCTGCATTTGCTATTCCTTGGCCTGGAAAGGTCTTTCCCCAGACACACCTGCCTGGCCCCCTCCCTCACCTCCTCAGGCCTCTGCTCAAAGGTGGCCTCCTTGGGAAGACATTCCTTGATATCGTCCCTCTTAAATAACTCCCATCCCTGTCCTTTTGTCTCCTGGCTAGGCCCTGTCCTCCTGTGCTATTTCAGAGTCCTCACAGCCATTCTCTGGGATAGGTGCTATCATTATCATCCCATCTTACAGATAAGGCGACTGAGGCCCAGAGAGGTGTCACAGATCTGGCGGATGGTAGAAGAGGGAGTGGAACCCAGGAAGGTTCCAGAGCCCACACTTTTATCCACTCCCTGGGCAGCGGCTGTGGGCCTGAGGGTGGCGAGTCTCACTCAGAAGGACGTGAGAACTGCAGCCACTTGAAAATATGGCTTTTCGTCTACTGACTACGAGGAACAGAAAGTGGCCCACTCCCCACACCCACAGGGCTCATGGAGGCACCATCACACCAGAGTTAAAATCCTATTTGCGCCCTAACCGGTTTGGCTCAGTGGATAGAGCGTCGGCCTGCGGACTGAAAGGTCCCAGGTTCGATTCCGGTCAAGGGCATGTACCTTGGTTGCAGCCACATCCCCAGTGGGAGGTGTGCACTGCAGCCACTTGAAAATACGGCTTTTCGTCTACTGACTACGAGGAACAGAAAGTGGCCCACTCCCCACACCCACAGGGCTCATGGAGGCACCATCACACCAGAGTTCAAATCCTATTTGCCAACGTTGATCCTCAGTGTCCCTACCTGTAACTGGATGTGTGTGAGTGCCTGGGACCAAGGGCCCCAATAACATCATCTTCCTGAGGGCCATTCCTAGGAGTCACTGACTCACCTCTGGCACATGCTTAAGTGCCTGACACACAGTGAATTCTCCACGTTGTTACTGTTTTTTCAAACATTAGGTCAGAAAGAAATGGTCCCAATTCTCTCTCAGTGTCAATAAAGACACCTCAGGCAGCCCCAGGCTGTTTCAGTCCTTCAGTTCCTCTTTTGAGTTTTACACTGTGGGTCTTCTGTGTACTATTCTAATCAAGGAGCTTTAAGCACCTTCCTGCACATTCCTGCCTCAGGGCCTTTGCACGTGCTGTTCCCTCTAGCTGGATGGAGTGCTTTCCTCAGCTATTCATCCACTTGGTTCAATCTCTCTATTCAGGTTATTGTTCAAAGTTTACCTCCTCAGAGAAGCTGACCCTTCTTACCCTGTCTAAAGCAGCCCTCCTTCCATCACTCACTATCCTCTTAATGCCTTTTAAAAAATATATATATATTATTGATTTTTTACAGAGAGGAAGGGAGAGGGATAGAGAGTTAGAAACATCGATGAGAGA